ATATAATATAATATAATATAATATAAATGACTGTGCAAGAACAAAAAAGACATGCATTGTTTTATAGACTGTAGTTACCAATCAGAATAATCACAACTGACTATTAACTGTAAATCATGACAAGAAACACAGATGTGCAAGTACAGCAGAGTAATTTTAAAGGTTAAAATGGGTAATAACAGAGCAGGTGATTGCTCAGATTAGTAATAATATAAATGAGTAGTAGTGCAAATGATTGTTCAGATGAGTATTGACAATGAGCAGTAACAGTACAAATGATTGTGCGGGCAGCAGCAGGTGTGTAAACATTTAGTGATTTTTGTAAACACTTGTGATTTTTGGGCGTGGCACTGGTTATAGAGTCTGACATCTGCAGGGAGGAAGGATCTGCGCTAACGCTCCTTTGTGCACCTAAGATGCAGGAGGGTGTGTGTGGTGTGAAGCACCTCATTTGAACTGAAAGAGACAGCCTCAAAACGAGTTGATCTGAGACCTCTCAGAAAAGTGATAAAAGAGGGGCTTGTGGAGTTACAATAAGGAGGAAGTCAGACCAAAGCATGAATGAATGAATGAATTTTATTTATGAGGACAATGTGCAATTAAAACATAAATATAAAAACATTTGATGCATTTCAGTTCCACTTTATATAGACCCCAACTGAAGGATTTAAATGTGAAAAAAAGGATTTAATGTTGCATGAAAATGTGAAAATAGCCATTTACAAGGTTCAGTGCAAAATTTAAATCTCTGTTCATTTGTCTTCATAAGTTCATTTTAGTTTTACAACTCAGCCAAATAAGGTAGCAGCAATATGCATTTATTTAAGGAATACCTTTAATTTAGCTAAATATTTTATTTCTAACGAATCTTAGATGGACTAATGCTTCAATTAAAAAAAATGTTGGATTAATTTGACATGATCTGAGAATTGAATTCAAACAGTACAGGTTTTAGAAGCCAATTGTTTCACCAAATAATATGGCACAATCATGGAGTTAATGTCTGTCACTGAAACCAAGTGCTAAAACTTGRATCGATACAAACCAGTTTCCCTTTCTTTGTTTTTATTTTTTGAAATTGACTTACAGATGTGGTTGGATGTCAGCTCTCGGAGACAAATATAAACTTTCATTTGTTCTAAAATTGACCTTTAAATATATTTGACTGTGGTATTTTTCTTTCATAAAGCTGAAACCAAAAGGCTTCTACAGACACTAATTACCAATCAGGGGGCTTGTGAATGTTGCAAATCACCTGGATTTTGCAATAAAGAACTGCTGTAAAGCTTTAATTTTCTTTTTGTTCTTTCTTGCCTCTTGTGTGTT